TCTTCTTCCCTTGCTCTTGCAGCTCCCCAGCTCATTGTGCCCCGTCTCCGAGGGCCCGACCAACTTGCAAACGCGGGGGCTTTGCAGCCAAGGGGTGGGTGGCACGAGGGTGCTGATGCCTCATGAAGAACCACAGAACTGGGTTAAATCCATAGGCAGCGAGGGGCCGCGGGGCCAGGCGGGACCGCTCTGCGCCTACCCTCGACACCGCAGTCATAAAGCAGAGCCGAGCACCAAAACTCAAAACGTGGCCCGATCCCCGCTGGGCTGCGAGGTCCTGCAAGGCCACCGCGTGCCGCCTTGTCCCGGGATCACCAGCTTCCAGGATCCCAGCTTTGCCTGCGGCTCTGGGAGCGGGAACAGGCCGTGCCCAGGCATGACCCGCGTCCCAACGGAGCCCACCCCAAAACCCAGCGTGGATGCTGGTTCGGGACTCCTGGGAGGAACCCCGAGGGTTTCACACGCAGAACCGCCTTTATTATTATTATTACTATTATTTTTATCTCTCTTTCCAAGCGGATTTCCATGAATTGCGGAAACATACAGGGCCGGCCAAGCTTTGTTGTCCGCGGGGAAAAGTTGCCGATTTGCCAGTGCTGGGGCAGTTCCCAAAAGTGATTTTGGTCTTTAAAAAGCAAAGAGACTAAACAGTGTCAAACTCATGTCAAGCATCTGGCTTTGCGGAGACCCATTAAAGCAGCAGCCGCCAGCTAAGCACGAGAGGCTGCAAGCGCCGGGATCGCCGACCTCCCCTGCAAGCCCCTGTTATTGGGCAGGAACACGTGAAAAGCTGAACTTGTGCAAGGCAGACACGAGATCCAAGGGGCCGGAGTGTCCGGGCCGGTCACGTGGCCCACATCGTATTAGTCACTCTGCAAAGCGCCGCTCCGTTTGGGTCTCCGCGCCTCGGCTTTGCTGCGGTTCTTCCTCACCCAAACCAGCTGCAGAAGTTGGCAGTTTGTGGCTGAAATAAAAAAAAAAAAGAGAGAGAGAAAAAAGGAAAACGTTGGTTTTCTAAGCACTGAGGTCCTTTAACGGGCAAGTCCCCGGGGTGCTCCCGGTTTGTGTTTGAGCAGGCGCTGCTCAGCAGAAACCGCTCCTGGGCGTCTGCTCCGAAACCAGAGTCTCCGTCCCCTCATCCAGGGCACTGAGGAAGATGTCAGACACTGGCCCCAATATCGACCACTGGTGACCGTCCCCCAGATGGACTTTGCACCACTGGTTCCCTCAGAGCCCTGCAGATTTCAACCCACCCGGCTTCTCCAGCCCATCCAGCTGCTCTATGGGGATGTTACGGGTGACAGTGTCATAGAATCACAGAACCACGACAGCTGGAAAAGACCTTTGAGATCATCAGGTCCAACCGTAAGCCCTACAACACCATCCTGCTAAACTGTGTCCCCAAGCGCCTCATCCACATGTGTCCTGGACACTGCTGGGGACGGTGACACCATGACTTCCTTGGGCAGCCTATTCCAGTGCTGTTCCATGTCATTGCATGGAGCAGGACAGCCTGGCGGCGGGCACTGAGCATGGCAGAAGACAGCAGCCGCCAGGACAGGGAAATGGCCCAGGGTCACCTGCGGACCCAGGGAAGGGAGGACCGGAGGAAGGGGAGAGGGGACACCCAGCCCCAGGTGTCACCAGGCTGCTCCGGGACGGGAGATGTCTCGGGAAAAGTTGCTGTCCCGCGCATGGCACGGGAAGGAGGGCAGCGCTCACAGGTGGCCTGTGGTGGGTTGAGTGCTATGATGACCCAGGCCAGGCACAGGGACAAGCAGGGGTCATATGTGAGATGTGTCCTCTAGAGCGGGATGCCTATGCTGGGAGCCACAGGCAGAGCTCGCATGGAGAAGGCTTCATGGAGGACATCTCCATGCGGTTTCTTCTCCCTGGGTCCGTCCGTCTGTCCGCCCAGGCCGTGTTTCGCTGATGCCGGAGCACAGGAAGGAGCCGGGGATCTGGGCTCGATCGTGGGCGCCGCGGTAGCTCAGCCGCCGCTGAGTCAGGCTCGCACGCACAGCGGGGAAGCGGCCCGCATCCGTGGGGGACGCTCGAGAGGATGAATAAAGCTGCTAATGGGAAAACCATCTGCTTTCCTGGGCCAGGGATGCTCCTGGCTCCTCCTGCTTGGCTGCACGCGCTCCAGGAGCCCTGAGATGCTCCGTTCCTCCAGCCCCTGGGATTTGCAACGCTGCTTCCAGAGGCCCATGCCCAGTGCTTGCTCACCCCGGCTCCCGCGAGGTTTTTTTCCTCCGCCTCCTTCCCCTCTTCCCGGGGCCACGGAGATGGCACCGAGCAGGATTCCTCCCGCCCGTTGCTTCTCACCCCGGAGCGCGGCTCCTCTCACACCCTCGGAGTGTCGCGAGCCCCGCGGGCGCCAGATGTGAAGCCTCAAAGCGGGCGGCGGAGTTAAAAAAAGCTCCGCGCGTGTTTACACGAGGCCATTCCGGAGCTGCCGGCCTCGCTGTGTTTATCCGGGCACGGCCGGGCTCCCAGCGCCTCCGTCACGGGGCACCGGCCAGCGCTGGGCTCTGTCACACAGAGGGCACGTGCACAACCGAGGGGACGTTTCGTTGTCACACGGGGCTGCTCTTTCCTCTGCTGAGGCCGTTTCTCACCCCCTTGGCTCTGGGAAAGCCTCATCTGCAGCGGTGCTGGCCAGGGGTGGCCCCCGGGCCTCGCGGCCGGAGCAGCCTCCAGGCTCCGGCACTTGCTGCAAGAAGCAGCTCGGGAGCAGGAGGCTTGTGCAGCCCCGCGCTTTGCCAAGGAAAATCCTCCGTGCCCGGGAGGGTTTCTCTGCCGGGACGCGTTTGCTTTGAGCCCTGCTTGGATGGATGATCCGATGTCTCATGGCGGTGTCCCCATCCTCCCAGAGGGCCCCTGTTGTCATATGTGGTCCCTGTCTTTCAGGGGGTCCCTGTCACTGCAGGAGATCACTGTCATCATAAGGTGTCCTTGTAGAAGGTCCCTGTCTGGTCCCTGTCATTAGAGGGGTTTCTGTCTTCTCAGAGGGTCTCTTTTGGTCCCTGTCCTCATAGGGGGTCCCTGTCACTGGAGGAAGTCCTTGTTTGGAGCAGCTTTCCAATCTGTCCCTCGGGAAGGCTGTCGGAGCCCTGGTGCTGCAGCTCCATCCAGGTGCTGGGAAGCTGCAGTGCCCTGCACAGATGACGTTGGATGGTGCCAGGAAAGGCCTCCCCTTGGGCAGATCTGGAAATTGCAGCCAAGAAAATGAAATAATCCCCTTCCCTGCCTGCTTTCCCAGGGGGGTTGCACCCAAAGCCTCCAGCATCTGCTCTCACGCTGCCTCCTCCCTGGCTTGGAGGGAAAAGCCAAGACGCGAAGGAAAAGCACCGGGACCTGGGGCTTTGGGGGACATTTGTCCCTCTGGGGTCCGTAGCAGCCCTCAGTGATTGCTGGGGAGCCGTGGCCCCTCTGTGCAGTGACCAACGGGGCACAGAGCGATGCCCAGAGCAGCGAGCCCGGCCTCCGGCACGCGGGGCCCTCATCCATGATTATCCAGGGCGGTGGGGCCAGGGCGTCTCTGGAACACTCAGCCCATGGAGGCCACGTTTGGCTGGAGGCCGTCAAGGGCAGGGGACTGGCCACGTCCCTGCCATCTGGGGGACGTTGATTCCGACGTTCTCGCTTTGCTCCTGGAAGCCCTCATGGTTATTTTGGGGCAGTAACCGTCTCTCCACACATTTGCTTTGGTGTTTGTGTGTGACTCTGCTCACTGCTGGGACATCCCGCTTCCAGCCATCCATGGGTGGTGCATGTCCCTGTGGTCTGCATGTCCCCATGGGCTGCTGTCCCATGCACAGTGAGCCGGGGTGGCCAGAGGGACACGCAGAGCCCCTCAGCACCTCCCGGGTCACCAACCCTCTGAACCAAGCGGCTCCTGTTCCTCCCAACGGTCCCTCATGACTGAGCACAGGAAAGCTGGGAGACCTCCAGACCTGGAAGCACAGAGGGATGCAGGAGGCAGCGGCTCGTGCTGCCAGAGAGCGTCTGCTCTCCCGCCAGATAGGAGCAGCAGCAAGTCACGGAGCCAGGCTGGGTAAGGGACACGACGACTCCTGTCCCCAGGGAGCCGCTTTGGAGCTGCAGCAGCTCCTGGATCCTTTGAGCCACCGGAGCACCCGTTTTTCACCCTTGCTGGATGCGCGTGGGGCGCCCCTGCTCCGCTGCCTCCCGCCGCGGGCTGAATCGCTTCGCTGCGGCCGCAGCTGCTCTTCCAGCACCGCGAGGGATTTGGCAACCGCTCCGGGCTATTAATAGAGGCGGGCGCTGGGCCGGGGCAGAGCAGGGCACGGCCCTGCGTTTGCCTAGGGAGCGGCTGGGCGGGCGCGAGGGAGCGCGCGGGAACAGGACGCGGAGGCCTCCGCTCCCGTGTCGCCTCCGCGCGCCGCGGCGGCCCCGCCGAGCCCGGCCGGAGAGGAACAACGGGGCCCGCGACGCGGGGACGCGGTGACACAGTGACACAGCCCCCCGCTCCTGGGTGGTGCGGAGGTGCCACCGAGCACTTCCATGGAAACCCGGTTCTCGTTCCAGCCCCTCTGGCCTTGTCCAGGGGCTGTGATGGGCATCCTGCCTCCCCATCGAGAGCCCTGCAGGGACAGAGCAGGATGCCTTAGGTGTCCGCTCCCAGCGGGAGGTGCCGGGACAGGACATTTCCTCTTGGCGTTGGGTAGGGAACATAGAAAAGGCATTAGGAGAGGAGGTCACGTGTGTTGGCGAGAGGTTATCACAAAATAAACCAGCCCATGGAGGCTACCTGCTCCGCTCCACGAGCTGCTCCGTCCGCGCCAGGATCACGGCTGGTTTGGGCTGCTCAGTCCCAGCTCCATGCAGATCCTCACCCCAGGACGAAGGAGCCGGCTCTTCCCTGCATTCCCAAGCACCCAGCACTGCCGGGACAGGAGCAGGGAGCCAGGGGAAGGGGTCCCCATCCCAGCCGCCCTTAATGGGGTTGGGTGCTGGTTCCCACCTGCCTCTCACCGGAGCTCAGCAGGGTTTTTTCCCAATGGAAGTGCCGGGCGGAAGAACCACTGGATGCGAGGAGGACACCCGGCCTCCGGATGGGCACCCGTTATCTCAGAGCCCAGCTCCATCCTGCCCCGTGCCCTCCCTTCCCGGAGCCACGTGCCCATCTCCCGCCGTGCCCACACTGCTCCAAGGCCTTTCCGCTCCCATGCAGACGTGTGCCCGTGTCCAGATCCCTGTGCTCCGGTCACGGCCTGAGCCTCCCCTCCCCTCACTGGGCAGGGAGCTCCATGAGTGCCGTTGGGTCTGGCAGGGACAAGGGACCAGGATGGTTCGTGACGCCCCTTTGGGATGGGACACTCCCATCGCGGGCACGGGCTGCCATCCAGCTGCCTGCCTGGGCCAACGTCGGAAAAATCCTTGGCATGAGAATGGCCTCGCTCCATGGCTCTGGATAGAGCCCTGGGAGCCGCCTCACTCCATGGGTCTGGATAGGGAGGCCCGGGAGCAGCCTCACTCCGTGGCTCCGGATAGACCCTGGGAGCAGCCTTGCTCCATAGCTCTGGATAGAGCCCCGGGAGCTGCCTCCCTCCATGGCTCTGGACAGAGCCCTGGGAGCAGCCTAACTCTGTAGCTCTGGATAGGGACCCCTGGGAGCAGCCTTGCTCCATGGCTCTGGATAGACCCCGGGAGCAGCCTCATTCCATGGCTCTGGGTAGAGAAGCCCTGGGAGCAGCCTTGCTCCATGGCTCTGGATAGAGAAGCTGGAGAGCAGCCTCCCTCCATGGCTCTGGATAGGGAGCCCCGGGAGCAGCCTCCCTCCATGGCTCTGGACAGAGCCCCAGGCTGGCGCCCACGGGAAGGCCCCGCGTGCCAGGCACGTCCCTGCGGCCGCGCTGCCAGCCAGGAACCTGCCCTGCCGGCTGGGCAGCCCCTGGGCCGGGCTCCCCGCCACGTCCTCCTGCCTCCTGCGGGGACAGCGCCCCAGGCTGGCGCCCCCGGGAAGGCCCCGCGTGCCAGGCACGTCCCTGCGGCCGCGCTGCCAGCCAGGAACCTGCCCTGCCGGCTGGGCAGCCCCTGGGCCGGGCTCCCCGCCACCCCCTCCTGCCTCCTGCGCCCGCTCCGGCCGTCCCCGCCGGAGCCTGGCAGGGCACGAGCCAGCCCAGGGCTCTGCTTCTGCTCCACATCCTGCAGCCGTGTCCTTCCCAGGCCCGGCTCCTGCGTCACAGCCTGTCCCTTCGCGCTGCCAAGGGGTCTGTGCTTCGTCCCGGGGGGTGACGTCCTCTCTGCTGCTGCTTTGCCACCGCACACAGCCCCGTTGCACGGAGAGCCCGGCCGCAGAGCGATGTCACCCAAGAGGGACTGTGGCCATCACTGCTTGGGGACACTGAGGCTGGGAGGGTGCAGAACAACCGATTTGGAAAATCCACCTTCCACCTCAAGGATTGGGGCCATCCAGGCAAAATCCGCTGTTTTCTTGGAGGGCTGGAGATCTGGGAGAGATGACGTGACTGCTTCCCGACGTCCCGCGCTGGAGGACTTCCAGCAAAGCCATCAAGGAGAGCAGACGGGGACGTGCTCCGGCAGCGAGCACGGCTGCAGCTCCCGTTCCCACCCAGCGCGAGGGCCTGCATGAGCTGCAGCCAGATCGCAGCACAGAGATGATGTCGTATCATAAGGTTAATCACATAATCCTTTTTCTTTTTTGGTATATATAGAACTATCTTCTGATTAATCACTGACGTTTAAACAACCCCTGAAGGGCTCTGGAAGAGCAGAAGTGCATGCAACTGTGCACCCTTGTGACACCGGTGAAGAAAAGGACACGTGGAGTTTGGCACAAAGCCATAAACGGCGACTACTGTATCAGTCAGACAATCTGAACAGCTCTTCAGAGCAGCGTGCACCTCACCAGCACCATCTCAGCAGACGAAGCAGGGGTTTACCAAAACGGCCTTGCTTTTTTGTGCTGAACGGTTGAAAAAGGAGCTGATAGCATCAGCGCTCGCTGCTCTCTCGCCTCTCTTCAGCCCCAGCCTGCGCTGAGGCCCCCAGAAGCTGCTGATACGCAGCCCTGCGGACACTGCTGGTCTCCTTCCACGGCCTCGACGTGCCCTACGTGCACGAAGGGGTTCGTCCCCGCAAGCGCCTTGGGGCCCTGCACCTCGCAGTCGCTCCTGGGCACTCCAGAGCTCTTCCTTGCCCTCTCTTGTCACCCACGGCCATAAACAAACACCAGCTGCACTGGGGAATATTTCTTTTCCCATTGCTTTATCGCCCTAGAGCCACAGCTATTAAAAACAACATAATGTGAGGCTGATTCTTCCAGCAAATGAGAGCGCTGTAACGTGCAGTGAAACTGTTCCCACTATTCATAGCAATTTTTCCCTCCGTGTACACATCCTGGCACATATGTACCTTGACAGGTTTCCTCCACGCCCTAACTGCCCGCTTTTACTGCACAATTAAAAAGACATTTTGCATTAAGGGGGAAAAAAAAAAGGTAAAATAAACAAACTCAAAGCCAGGCCCAATGTGGTCTGGAACTGTGACCTACCCACGATGAGAGCCAGCAGATCTATAAAACACAGCTGCCGGCCAGCTCGGCGGTGCCAGCAGCGAGACGCGGACAAGCGTGTCCCTTCCCGAGCCACGTCAGGCACCTGCAGCTCCAGCCGCAGGGACCTGCCGTTTGGATCCTGGCTCCTGCCATGGCCAAACTCGCCAGGACCCTCGGGGCCGCAGGACCCTGCTGTTGATGTGGGAGTTGAATGGGGATTTTTCGGTCCTCCGGGCTGGCTACAGCCACCGCGCCGAGGAGCAGCATCCTCTCACCGCCAGGCACGAGCATCCTGCTCTCCATCCAATGGACACCCCTTCCCTGAATCTCATTCTCCAGGACCAGTGAAATAACTCCAGCAAAGAGTGTTTTTCCCCCTAGAAAACTTCTGCCCAGGCATAACGGAGATGTGGCACTGACCCCTAGTGACAGGCTGCTGTTCTGGCACCGCAGCGGCCTGGGAGAAAACTGAAGCGCAGCCAAGTACAGTAGGGATCCGGGAACACTCCTTGGATTGCACAAAAGCTTCCTAAGAAGTTCCTGCTGCGCGTGGACTGGACTGCGGGAGCCATTCCTGGAAGTGCTTCCAGCCCTGAACATCCCGGTCCAGGACATCAGATGCTCCACTCGCTGCAGTGCTGTCACACACAGAATAGATACAGAATAAATGTACTTCAGAGATAGTTTATTTAAGAAATTAGTTATCGTTTTGGATACTATACTTCACTGCACAGAGTGAGGGAGTGATGCAGGGAATGCACCAGTCACATCAGCAGGGACATTACTGGAAGTGACCTACCTACAACGGGTACAACATGGTACAAAATCCTTCTGCAGCTGAGGACTGATGGGAACCCACAGCAGGTTCCACACTGATCTGCTCCTTCTCCGAGGAATATTCCGCTGTGGAACAGACTCTCATCTGCAGCTAGATTAGAACTTGGAACACACAGTTTGGCTCTAAGCCTGACATTAAGTACAAACACGATACGTTTCAGTGAGGGGCTTCAGGACGGTCCCTTTCTGAGCACTGCAAAATGCTCCCACCAGGTGGGCTGCCTGCAGGAGGGGAAAGACTTCACAACACCCCAAGCAGTCATTTCCAATGTCGGTTTTGTTTGTTAGTTTGTTTTTCCTTCCCTCTGATTTCTGGAGGAGAACTCACCCCTCCTGGCACATCTCAGGGATGTTGTGGAACGGAGCTGGTGGTTATTGAAGGCAATGGGAGCACCAGCAGGATTAGACAAAGTTTCCCTCGACCACACTGGACTACCTGGACTGAATCCTGCGCTCAAGAGCTGTCCTGCAAAGTCTGACCCTTCAGAAAGGAATTAAAGGCCTTTTGTTGTCCCAGAACATGAGTAAAGGCCAGAAGGATGCTTCCCCAGGCCCAAATCGCTCCGTCTAGACGAGGAAGTGGAACACATTTCTGTCCTGCACCGGAGCTGCCTGTCCCCAGCACTGCCAGCCCTGCCCTTCTTTCTAAGGTGCTCGTCTCCCTGCAGACCTTATCCCTGCACCAACTTCAGCTCAGATGGTACCAGCCTCACCACTGTCACCGAGAAGAAGAGCAGAGGCTGCAAATAACGCCCCGGGCTCATGGCCATGAAGATTCCAGCACCGGGCAAAGTCTTCTTCCACCTGTCCTCGAGCTTTGCTGGCACTTTCTTTTGTATTTGTTCCGGGTATTTACGGCTGTTGTGATGACCTGAGTTATGGACCTCATAATAAAATCACTTCAGTCAGATTCTCCTGTAGTGCCTGAGAAGAAACACGCTCAGGAATTCAGTTCCCCAAACTCAGGTGTAAACACAATCGTGTGCCAGTTTAAACACTGCAGCCACGGAGCGAGTGGTATGTTTGCCCTCACTGCTACACACAGTTTCTTGGCAGATTTAAAACTTCTTGAGGAGAACTTTCTGCCACAGATAGTGGAGCCAACGTGAGAGAACTGTTCTTCGTCCTGGAGCCACTCACAGTCTTCCTGCTCCGAGGAACCAAAGCATCATTGAGAGACTTAGTGACCCAGGGAATGGGACATGTGGAGTCAACTGCTCCAGCATAGTTTTTTGTGCAGACAAATCCTTAGCAGCAAAGGGAGCTCGTTCTGCCTTCCCACGAAGCACCAAGCAGGCAGAACTTCCCTGCAGTCTCCGTGAGGATCTGCTGTCATGACTGACCATGCAATGCAACAGGAATTGCACACAGGAGGGCCAGGTTATAAACTGTACAAACACGTTTCTGGTAGCAGAAACCACAGGCATGGCAGAAGTGCTGACACACTGCAACGGGGAACTTGCCTTTAAACGTAAGGGCTGTTTTATCCCTTCAGCACTATTTTTTTCTGCTAAAAACACCTCTCTGCTGCAGAAGGCTTGAAGAGGATGGAAATGGCGAGACAGTTCTAGAGCACTGTCCCATCCCTTCTCCCCATTTCCAGAGGGGGATCTCCAGCTCTCAGAGCTCACTGTGTCTCTTTTCCCTCCCTGCCAGCCTCGGGGCTGTCCCTCGCAGGTCCCTCCCAGGGGACTGGCCCTTCTCTGCTGTCACCCCGGGCTCCTCGGGCTGTTCCTCTCCGACTGGGGCTTTCTCCTCAGAGCTTCCTGGTGGCTGCGGCTCCCGCGGCTCCCCGTGGCTGAACGAGGGGTGAAGGGTGAACTCGGGCACTGTCGTCTCCATCATCTGGAGGAAGTTGTAAGCAGGAAGAGGTGGCTTCCAGTCTGCTTCAGATAAGGTACCTGATAAGTGAGTACAGACAGATATGAGCAAGTTAAAAGGCTGTGGTGACTTTACAGATATACTCATTTCAAATCGAGTTTTTTTTTTTACTCTTCCAGCAGATGCAAAATTAAATATTTATTTCTTCAAGATCACATTTTTTTCTCTCTCTCTACAACTAACACCATTACTCAAATCAAACCATTCACAAAGTGACTTAACATTTACTGGAGCTGCCAGGGCTCAGCTTCTCAGAAGGGGGCTTCCCCATCCTCAGAGACACAAACTGTACGTTCACAAGTGGCAACACTCTGTATCTATCCTCTGGTGGGTAGATTTTACATTCAGACCTCAAAGAACAGTGTTAATGACAGAGCATTACCATCAGGAGTAAGAGGAGACTGTTTTCTATCCAGAGAGGAAGCAGCCCCATTAAATGAGGATGCTCTCTCATTTTTCCTTTTAAGACTTAATCACACAGTTCTCAGTGGTTAAAAGCTTGAGAAAGGAGGCTGTGCTGGCTGGTACAGCCCTCGGTCACCCAACGTGCTGCCCAATGCTCTATGCACCCCCCTGGCACCCCCCAAAGGTGGAAAGCTAAAGAGCTTAGAGGGGCTGAGTGGCTAGCTGGCCAAAAGTGGCTTAGCCAGCCTTCAGCCACATGTTGTGTCTTCCCAAAGGCTAACTTCATTCTAGGGGAGCTGGTGTCCTTATGGCAATGAGGGAGGTTCTCCCAGGAGGGACTCCGAGTCAGACCCAGCATGGAGTGTTCGGTGTCACCTTCTCGAGGAGCCCTTGCAGCTACAGACAGAGGAAGAGCCACTGGGGGTGACACCGGGGTCCATCCCAGCAGGATCCTGGCAGGGATAGGGTATATGGGACAAGCACATGGTGATGTTTCCTCACAGCATTCTCCCAGGCATGCTGGATTTTCTCCAGGCCCCAAACCCTTCTGTTGTGTCTTATCCCATGGATAACAAGTTAGGAAGGCACATTCTGCCTTCCGCCAAAGTTCCAGCAGATTGAACAAGGCGGGAAAAACATAGTGAAACGCTTCACAACTCAAGCAAACCCTGTATGTCCCAATGACCAGAACAACACACTGTCCTGTCCAGAAAAAGTCCTGGGAGAGACCTGGAGAGCATCTGTTTCTCCTGCTGACAGCTGGGAGCCAGGAGAGCTTTTGTCACCAAGCTGGGCTGCAGAAGGTCAGGTCCAGCCCCAGGAGAGCAACGCGATGCTTGGGGATTATTACAGGGAAGAGATTTCAATTCAGAGCTATTCACACTTGGCTCTGAACATTAAACAGTCCTAAAGCAAACTCGCGAATACGGCTATTCTGTTCTGGCCGGACTATTTGTACTTCTGCAATTCAAACTTAGAATAGCTATTTTTTCCATCATTAAATTCCAGAACAGACAATTTATTGCACGTAACATCTTCTCATAAACACACCGGGAGCTAACAGTGCGTGCTAAGGAACGTTACCAAAGCTTGTCCACTTACTGCTGGGAATCTCCAATCCTGCTTTTAGCTTCTCCAGCCAAGACAAGACGTTTGTTTCAGTGATGGGCTGGCCAGGTGGAAAGCTGAATACCTGACCTCCCGCGTGAAGGTTCACCCAGACGAGAACAGGCAATGAAGGCAAGGTGGCAAAATAGGCCTTCAGGATCCCGTGGCCTACAGGGGTGTTCTTCCTGTGGACAAGATGAGATTCAAATTGCTGACAAACACTTTGGCAGTACAACATGAATGAGAACCACCCGAGCACCAAAGCCCTTGGGCCACATCCAGCAAAGCCCACAAGCACAAGTTTTGTCCACGGAACAGCTGTAGAAACTCACAGCAGCATTAGGAGCTCTGGATTAACTGTGAATTAATTAGGAGTTTAAAAAGCCAATTAGCCAGCTCTCATGGAAAGTGAGTGGACAGCAGATTAGATGTGTAAAGAAATCCCCTAGCAGCAGGAACAGCTGGGACACGTTCTGTAGGAGGGTATGAATTCCTCCATGAGAA